CCAGAAGAAAAGGAGTGTGCCCTCAGACAGGTACAAATTCAATTTGATTTTAAAAGGGTGCGTACGTTACTGAAATTCATGTTGCCCAAATAAGTAGGGAGCTGGTCGTGGACCACAAGTAAAATAAACTGTGTAATACTGGAAGAGACAGAAAGACAAGTAGAGTGGAATCTCTCCTCTATTGGTGCAGCCATCACAAACCTATATAATGCTGTTCTTCCCCCCATCTTTTCCGCTACAAGTCTGCTTTATTTGTAGCTTACTCTATCAATTTCTTCGTTGGCACCATTAGCAAATTCTTTAAAGAGAAAATTGCTTAATAAAGTTGTGTTCTTTCAAGCCAGTGCCTACTTAGCTAGGGGCACATCGAACAAGAAATGATCAAAGGGTGCTTGCATAGCTTTTTTATTTTTTTTATTTTTTTTCTCATTTTGGCTGGCTCTCTATGGTTGTTAGCCTAGCTATCCTCAGACACATTGATCAATCTCTGTCTAGCATAACCGACAAAGTTATTTAATTTCCTGTTAAATGTTTCTTTCATTCAGAGTAATCCACGTATTAACAAACTCTGACATAGATACTAGATTTTGATTTTGTTAATGTAATTTTTATGTATAAAAAAATTTATTTTATTCTCTTATTAAAAAAATTGTCAAAAAAGAGAAAACCTATTTCGATAACGTCTGTATCTCGAGGAAATTAAAGAGATTAGTTTTGAACTTTTATATCGTAAGATTTATTTTATTTTACTTTTTATATAAAAAAGGCTAATATCCGTGCAATTGAGAACATGATTGCTTGCCAGCACCAGCAGCTACTGGAAAAGATGATAGTAACATCCACCTGATGCTAGGGCACAATCTATCCATATATGACACATCATTTTAAACACATTATTTTATGCGCTTTGTTGCCAACTAGTCGAAAAACACAACCTAATACCACCCGGATCTTAGCTGGAGAACCTGTTACTCAGATTATTATAGCCACAAGTTAAAATAATTCAGTGATTTTAATTTACTGAAAAAAGTTTGTTATATATTTTATGCAAATTATTATATCATCTTTTGCAATTTCTTGTATCATTTTTTATGCATTATTTTCCATTCAGACACGTGACTCCTTTATTATGAGCAAACAAAAGTCTATTGTGGATCGACCCCAACATTTAATGAAGAAAGATATGCCCTACTTACCAACCAATATGATCCGTTAACAACTTCAGAGCTTGCCTCATGTTTCTCAATTTTATTGTGCATCCTTTGTCTACGAAGTATATATATATATATATATATATAATTACATGAAATTATATATATATATATATATATAATTTAAACTTTCAACACAAGAAAAAGTCAGGTACCCGAGATCGTTGCTTGTGCCGAGTACCCGAACCCGCCGACTACCCCTACATGAGGTGAAACGGGTCGGCGGAGTCGGCCGAGTATGTCGACATCATCTAGATGGTTACGGAGAGATTAATTAACATAATGCACAGGATTACACTCCTAATTTTCCGGGGCCCAGTCCCTAATTACAGCCCAATAAGAACTACTATAAATAGGACCCCAACGAGGTATGTAATTAATTCTGAACTACCGCATTTATTACGCCGAGCACAAACTTGAGCGTCGGAGTGTCTTTGCAGGCACACCCCCCTTTTCTCTCCTTCGGACCATCCGGATTGGAACAAGAAAACTGAGACCGAAGAACCGACCCGTCACAACGAAGATAATTGAAGTGTGTATCCTAAAACAGGAACACAGTACAAAAAGAGAAAGTTTCACTAAATTATTCTTACTAAGTAGTATTATGGACTTAAAAAGGGGGGAAAATGAGAACATAATCAGGAGAAAGATACATAGACATTTGAATATACAAGAAAATTGTTACATATTAACACACGTCCTATGACTGTTTGTTGAGATTTTCATTTATAGGTCCTTTTTATTCGAACTAACAAAACTTCAATTTAAGTATATGTCATGAATGAAGTAAAATTTAAACAAGAGGAATACGTAGAACTATGCTATTCAAGATTCAAAAAGTTCACGACTTTTAACTGGCAATAAATCTTTAGAGATGAATCGCATACACATAAAACACAAAGGACATGAAATTATATACAATATTAGTCGGGGTCCAATTTTATGAATTAATATGCAAAATTTTTTAAGAGTTTATCGATAGTTATCACAAAATAAGTGTCATGCATATAGACATTAAGATGAATCGAATGAACAACACATATACTGATTACAGAAATCATATCATTTATCATCAACAAGGTTAGAATTACAATGCATAAGGATTATGATGAGTAACTGAATTTGCACGCTATACTACGTTATGCTAAAAACTAAACTAGACCTATTCTAGAAAGAAAGAATAAAAATGGTCAAGAAATCATACTCAATAGTCTCGTACACAAGAGCCATATGAGCGGGCAGAGCGTTGTGAGATTTCGTAAACATAATGTTTCTGACCTCCTGGAATGAGATTGCCTCACCTATTTATAGATTTTGAGTGGAGGTGGTTATTTTTGTATGGGTTCGACGTGGTATATGTAACCACCCCTCCATTACGCGACGTAATTAACCTCTCTCAACAAATTTTAACTTCCGGTAACTACCTACTCTTCTTCTTGATCCTCGAATAATTCTTCGAGAAACCGAGAAACCGTATCAACTTCCTCGGTACATAACTACCCCGATATTCACGTATGGATAACTTCCTTGAACTGACCATAACTACCGATAATCACTTGCCCTTTTCTTCGACTTTCAGATTCTTTAAAAGCGTTTTCGAAATTCTCATCTTATTTTTGAGAACGTATTGCATATCGAAATGTAATCGTCTTTGCGCGATTCGAGTAATTTTTCACATTGTTTATAGTGATCCCCCTTTAATATTGAAGAATTTTCTTCAATTTGCTCCAACAGTGACATAATAAGTATTACTAAAAAGTATTTTTACCCACACGTTAAATATAATATATGTTGGTATATTGTTAAAAAATATTGATATAAGTTATAATAATATGTAAAATATATTATTAAATTATATTTAAAATTATGTGACTATATATTAAATAGATATATATTGAAATATACTTTTCGTACGTCACTGAAAGTTATATCTTTTTGTAGTGAAGGGCTAACTAATCATACAATGAATATATTTAAATACTCGTCTACATACATCGAATGCACTCAAAGAAAAGTAGAGAGTAGACTAAGTTGAATGTACATTTAACAAGTACCCTTTTCAACTTGAAAACAAACATGTACATATTCTTTGGGACTCAACATGTGTTAATATTTTGGGGTATATCATAACTCCATGCAAAGTCAGCACTTTTTAGTGAAATTATGTCTACTCTATCCATTAGATAAGTCTGCATAAAAAAAATATTAAACATGAAAAAAAAACAGATATGATTTTAAGTCCTAACAGGTAAAAGTAAAACCAAAAGGACTTAATTAGCATGGTGGACCCCACTGTAATAGTATTGCCAGACATGCTGTTAGAATCTCTCTACAACTGAGTACCAAATCATTGTTGTTGTTCTTCTTCTCCATTTATATATAAAGTCAATAACCTCTTCCCTTTCCGCCATATATAACACAGTCACCATGGAACACAGCACATCCTTCAACGACTCCAAAAACAACCTCTCTTCACAACGCAGCCTCGCCTCAGTCCCTTCCCTCAACTCACACGCTCACCTCCTCAACCTCAACGCATCCCACACGTGTCTCGCCACTCTCAGACCCCACAAAACATCCTACACCTCCTCCCTCACCCTCGCAGGAAAGTTCCTCTACCTAGGCTCCTCCGAGTCACAAGTCCAATCCTGGCATTACTCCCACCACCGACCACCGCCACCCGCCACCGTGGTCACCGCCGGAAACGGCGCCGTGAAGTCCATCGTAGTCCACTCCGACAAACTCTTCACCGCCCACCAAGACCACAAAATCCGCGTGTGGAAGATACACGACCAACACAGCTACACACGTGTGGCCACGCTCCCAACATTAAGCGACCGCGTTTCGAAGATCCTGATTCCCAAAAACCACGTGCGGATTCGGCGGCACAAAAAGTGCACGTGGGTTCACCACGTGGACGCCGTTTCCTCCTTGGCCCTATCCAAAGACGGAAACTTTCTCTACTCCGTTTCATGGGACAGGACAATGAAGATTTGGCGAACCAAAGACTTCGCGTGCTTGGAGTCCGTGCGAGACGCGCACGACGACGCCATAAACGCGGTCGCAGTTTCCCACGATGGACTCGTCTACACTGGATCCGCGGATAAGAGAATCAGGGTTTGGAGAAAAAACGAAGATGATAAGAAACACAAACACAAACACATGTTGGTGGACACGTTGGAGAAGCACAACTCCGGGATCAACGCGTTGGCGCTTAGCGGCGACGGTTCCGTGTTGTATTCGGGTGCATGTGATAGGTCGATATTGGTTTCGGAGAAGGGTGAGAATGGGAAATTGGTGGTGGTTGGTGCGTTGAGGGGGCACACTAGGTCGATTTTGTGTTTGGCTGTGGTTTCGGATTTGGTTTTTAGTGGTTCTGAGGACAAAACGGTTAGGGTTTGGAGAGGGGTTGAGAAGGATTATTCTTGTTTAGTGATTTTGGAAGGGCATAAGAGTCCGATTAAGAGTTTAACTGCGACGGTTGATCGGAGTGATGACCCCTCCGAAGCTTCTTTTCTTGTTTATAGTGGCAGTTTGGACTCTGATGTTAAGGTTTGGCAGGTTTTTGTTCCTCTTCTTTGAAGTTTTTTTTTTTTCCTTTTCACCCTCTTTTTTGGAATGTTATATAGTATACGATATTTTTTACTGAAAGATACGAAGATCGGAGAGAAAGTGTAAGATTAACGTAAGTAATGTGATTGAGATACGTAAAGGAAAAAGAGTGTTTGTGTAAGTTGTATAAATATAATATTAAAAAAAATATTGAGCAATTTTCTTAAATGAATAATCTTAAATTAATAAATCTTATGCCAGAATTCTTGGTGGGGATATTTACGGAAAAAAAGATGCAAAATTAGTTAAGAAATATCCCCTTATTTTTTGTTTGTATTTTTTCTTTATTGTGAATGGATTAATATTATTGATTTCTGTAAGGGTTTACATGTAATTTTAATCATCACCTTCTTTAAGAAGATATTTTTAAGGAGTGATCCATAATACATTACTATAGTGAGTTGCACGACTCCATGGGCGCAGGAAGAAGAAAGGAACCGGACTATCTACAGAGCTTTTTTGTTCATTTTTTCCCCTTTAATTAAGCAACAAAATAATCTCAAACTTTAAAAAGAGATCTTTATTTAGTTTTCTTGATTCAAACATAATGCACAAACTAACCCCACCAAAGGTTCTAATTTCCGAAGAAAGGGGGGAAGAAAGTCACATACCACGTGAACTAATTTTGCGGCTATATTATTGTTTATTAAATAACTAGTATTTTAGTTTGTAATATATATATATATATATATATATATAT